ACCCATACGAGGAAGGTCTTGTCATTGTTGTGGAAGATTCCTCTTCCTTCAGGCCACTGCTTATTGATTCCAGCAGCTTCCAAGAAGCGATCCCCTTTCTTGAACAAGAAATGATCGTCAACCAGTTGTTTCCTCGTCTTCTCATCCATGCCAGACAGTGGGTAATATTTCCCTGCCAAATCACCAGTCAAAGATGCCAGCACCTTTACAATCTTCTCTTCAAGTTCCACCCTCTCCTTACTCGCCAGTCCAGGTGCGAGTGCAAATCCCTTCACATTCCTGGCCACTCGAATACGAGTTGATCGGATGAATTTTCCTTCCGAGTCCAAATTAGGGGCGTCAACTTTTTCTGGACTCATATCGGAGACGTGCTTGTCTGCGAGTTTGTAGGGCCCGTGGTAGTCCTCTATAACAGCATTGAAGAGATCACTGAACATTTCGTAACATTCTTCGTCACATGCGTAGACACCACAGCTTGAATCCAGGTTCTCAACGCCCGAGTTGATGCAGTCGTACAGGGTCGAGCCACGGGAGGTTTTCTTGTCTTTCAAGGCGGTGAACATTTCTTCGGTTAAATATTTCTTTAGGAGAGACTTCACTGATTCGTCTTTGAGGCCTGCAGGAAATTTGGATCGTTTTTCCCTAGAGCGTAAAAGAAATTTAGTCAATAATTTGCCAACTAGTACTAAAAAGGCACTTTTAAAAATTTGAGGAATCTCATGTTGACAATGCTATTCCACATTTATCGTGAGTTATACAAATTAATTCCCAGTCCAAATGTTAACCTTGGAGAAACCTATGCTGCCAATGCTATTTCCCAATCCCAGGGACAATTCAAATTTCAATGATCAAAAACATTTGATCCAGAGCAAAAATGTAGGCAATTTCTAGTCATCATTAACATATCTATTCAACGTGGGCGTATTGTTTTCTCGTTTTAGATCGCGTGTCCTTGTTTTAAGTAGTTTTCATTATTTACCGACAACGCCTGTTAAAACTAAATGATAGGATTGTGACTCAAACAAATAACCCTAATTCCACTCGAATGACACGGCTTAAAATGGGRAAAAAGTACGCCCAGGCTTAAAGTGTTGCTTACTGTATTGCTGCCTGCTCAATCTCCAATAGTTTCTTGACTCCATTGTACATGTCTTGTACACACTGTACTTCAGACAGACCAAGACGTCGACGGTTACTGATGTCAAATACACCAGCATCTTCTCCAGTAGACACTGAGTGTTCACCATGGATACCACG